TCCTGGACGTTGATCGAATCGAAGGGTTGGGATCGTTTTTTTTTCTTTGGGATTGATTCATTGGATGTACCATTATATGGTGTTACGCTTTTTTTTTTGTACGCATACTTATTTTCTTACAAAGGCACGCTCCTTTTATGCTTCCCATGGGATAGGTGAAGGAGTTATGTAAACATGGAAGAGTCGCTTTGTGATAATGTACACTCTTTTCTTTCGATTTTCCCTTTCGTTTGCTCCGCATGTTGGGGTTCTGAAATAGCACCCCCCTCCTTCCCCCTCCTCTAATGAGGAACCTTCGGATAAATACCTACAGACAACCATGTCATTCTTTCTGGGTCGTTATGATTGCTTTTCAATAGTGTACCCTGAAGAATTTTTTTCCTTTTCATCGGATCCAAGAAAGCAGTGGCATGAGCGGGTAAGCAGTAATGGAAAAAACAACACGCAAAAGACATTCTTTGAAACCGAGCATTCGATGTTCCTGTCGTCCTTCAGTCTGCTGTTGAGTGTTTATTGGATTCACCTAAATGCTACGGTTTGGTCTCCCTCTTTTCATTTTTCTCTTCAGGGAACTAAGGTATTATCATACGGTGAAACCCCTATCCTTCTCTCTCTGCTTATTTTAGTCCGCCTTTTCGGCGTGTTTTTTTTTATTTTTCACCACAGTGGGCACGCAAACAGAGTCAAAAACAACGATGCTCAAGGATCTGGAAGGAATTCAAGGCGCCGGGAAGCTCATCGAGCGCGCACGGATGGAGGAGTCTCCGGATGGAAACCCCCTTATCGCGGCGCGTTGCTATATCGATGCGATGGAAATCATCGTCTCCACCGCTTCCCGTTATGCCGAGGCAATGGAGGATTTGGAGAGCAAACTCTCGTTTCTCTTTCAGATGCGCAGCCGTGTGGAGTTGTACTACGAACGGGCAGACCTCCTCTTGCAAGTGGCGGCCGAAATGGATTTGCCGGATGTCCCCGAGGTTGACGACGTTCCGCCAACTTTGCCTACTTCGGTCTGTGGAGACGGCGATAGATAAATCCTCGCCCAAAGGTTTTATCGGAGAAGAAATGAATGAGTGGAAAGGTCTCATCTTTCTTTTTCAGTATTTTTGATGACGCGGGTGGGGGGTATCCCCCATCGAGCCAGGGTCTACAGGCGAGATCGGCGTAGCACGAAACCACTCTGTTATGTGAAATGCCCAGGGGTTATCCAGGCGATCTTTATTACAGCTGCCATTTCTTTCAACTTCCTAGGTGTTCATTCAAAGGGTGGTTTTTATTCGTCCGTTTATTGTGATCGCGAAAAGTAGAAACGAAGGATCTCCCAATTGAAGGAGCGAGAGACAAATGCTGAATGCCATAGCGTATGGAGCTGGGAGTCTCGTTTACTATACATCTGAAAGGCTTCATTTGCAGCTTTCTTTTTTTTTCTTGTGTGTGCGTGCATGGCGTGTTCTCCCACCTTGGTGATGGGATGCATTGTGGAAAAGAAAATGCTTAGTCTTTTTGGTTGGTTTTGTTTGCGTACCTTGAGTCAAAGTGGATGGGAACCCGTTGATGAAGGAAGGTTGGATGTGTGACAATGGGTCTTCGTATTGGCTTCTCTTTTTGTGTGTGTCAAACATTAGATGGGTACAGCCGATTTCCCTATTTTCTCTTCCCCCATTTCTGTGACTTTATTGAATCACACAACCATAACAACCCAAAGGGCTTATTCTTCTTGGAGTTTTGGAGTTTTCCAAC